CTTCAGTATAGAGTGGAAGTGAACTCATGTACAGCACTTCACTAACTATACTGTGTAAATTGTACTCAACAAAAACAGCAATGAGACAAGCAACATGTTTGATGCTGAACATTTATTGCAGTAAATATCAAAGCCTGCGTTGGTGGAAGTAACAGTGAACCAGAGGGAACAGTGGAGAACACTGGCTCATCAGCTTGAGACAATCATCCTGCCTTTTGACACACAAAGGGCCTTCTTGAAGAACAGGGCAGTTCACTCCATCGACCATACACTGAAAAAGCAAGAGGACACATCACATTCAGATTCAGGGTCATGATGGGTTTCAAGTTCAATATCTAGAATTATTTTCCACAGTTGAACAGTAGCTGTTGGAAAACTTTATAAAAACATTATTTTCCTCATTTTGGGTCATTAAGCATAGAATGCTGCAAACAGCAACTTCATTCAACTGCTTAAATCTCTTAAGTTCACAGATGTGTGATACATACAGATTCGTGAAGGCACCATTAATGCTTAAAACTACACACATGCAGGTTGTGAAATAACACATGCTGCCTTCCAGACGACACCTTTTCATCTTCTTACTTTAGCGAGACAATGCCAGGCCACTTTCTGCACATGTAGCAACAGCTTGGCTTCTTAGTAGAAGAGTGAGGGTACTGGACTGGCCGGCCTGCAGTCCACACCTGTCCCCCATTGAATATGGTTTGCATATTAAGAAGCATAAAATGAGACAATAGGTCTTCAGACCATTGAGCAACTAAAGTCTATTATAAAGCAAGAATGGGGAAAATAGCACTAAGACTGCTCTTGTTCAGGTTATCAATGACATCGAGATAAGAACTGACGAGGGCAGAATCTCAGTTTGAGGATAACTGGATATGAAATTCTGTATTCAACACAGTCAACCACAGCATATTTCTAGACCACTGGAAAACTGGATCAGATATTCTGGCACTTCACTAAACTGGTTTGACCCTTTAAAGGTCAGTCCAGTGTGACTCGGTTTCTTTTTTTTAAATATCGGATTTACTTAAAGTCCAAATGGTCATTATTATGTTAACAGTTTTCTTGCTTTTTAATTCAAACCTCTTTTCTGTCATTTTCACTTACTAAATCCCATCATCTCCATACAGTCCTGCCTCTGATGTAAGGCTCCAAACCACCTTTTATATGGCACCAGTCCACTTCCATCCAGCCACTGAAATGTACCCTGAAAAGAGAAATCAGTCAGTTTGATGTTAGTGAATTATGAATAACCTCAGGCATCTACTATCAGATTTGGTTCAGTGCAAGTCACCCTCTCTGAAGGCCATTTTGCAAAAGCTCAGTTTTGGCTGGTGGTCATTTCATTTTGGACAGAGGGCTTAATGTTTGCGTGTACGAACTCTGAGACTCTTACTGCTCACCTCTTGTCTTCGGGCTCCTATCCAGTACTGATACATGTTTGATTGGATGACCACCATACACGTCAGTTTGGTGGAGTCCATCTCATTCCTGATTGATACAAGAAGACCACCTTCCTTTTGACAGACACTCTGAAAACAACATAAATAGGATCAGAATTAAGTCAACGACTATGTGTTCAGTGTTGAATAATAATACAAACTACTTCAAATTATTATGTGAATAAATTCAGTGCAACGACAGAGCAACAACCCCATCATAAAACATCTGTAAAACTGAGGACACCTGCAAACAATGGCTGTTCTCCCTCTTTACAACTTGTATCAGAAATGTAGGTGAGATCTGCAGTTGTTGTTCCCACAAGAGGAAACCAGGAAACCATTTACACGTGAGAACAAACGACAAGTGACTCAAAGGTCAAATTTATGTTTAGCTAAAGTCTTACTAAACAATAACGAACAAAGTTGAAGAAGACTCAAACGATAAAGATTTGCTGATTAGCAAATGTCTATCTGTTTACTTTCTCTTCTTCTGTTAAAGAACACAACACAGTCACTTCCCTGAGCTTTTCAATAATTTCTACACAGTAAGAAAATTCAATCTGGTGCATTAATAAAATATTTCTTGTTGATGAAACTAGGAAAGATTAAGCTTGTTGCAGCTATGAGCTGAGCTTCATACACTCTGACTATCTGAGCAGGATGAGGTTTATTTTCTGTCTGTGATAATTAACTGTGTTTTCTTCACCTCTGCCTCGTCAAACGTTGCCTTGGTCGAGATTCTCTTCACACAGCGGCTGCTGTCCAGACGATACCAACCTGAGCCACAAGATTCAAGTGGACTCTCCTCACATTTTTTAATCAGCATTTCCCTTAATCCTCCTGCAACACAGAATGAATAAGTGTGGTCCATTTTGTGGTGCTGTTGTCTTACTAGAACATTATTACCTACACCAAGGATGCTATGTTTTCATTACTTATCAAGCACTGAACCAATTTAATTCATTTTATGTCTGTTTCTTGAACAGAGTGAGATATGATATGAGCTATGCTGGAGGTATGTCCTTCTGCTTTTGTGTCTTGTGTTTGCATCTTACCTGCTACAGGGTCCGTCATGAACATCACCAGTAGGAGGACGACAGTTACCAGAGCAGGACGCATGACTCAGAGCTCAGTGATTCTCACAGCCGTCCACAACTGGAATATCAGCTGGAAATGTCTCAGCTCAGCTCTGTGACAACAAACATTATGTTCCCAACATTTCTGAGTCAGTGATTAAAATGTGGTCATCCTCTTACGGGCATATGAATGATGTGTGTATTAAGTGTTTAAGTAAATAAAACGCCTGAGATATGAGGTTAATTAAAAAAAAAAAATGTTTCTCAAACAAATATCAGATCTAATTTCTTTTCATTCTTTTTCCAGAAACATCCAGAGACAAAGAGAACTCACCTCAGACGTGTTGCTGTTGTTCGTTGTTCTACCTCCGTCTGGATGTCTCACCTGTGACACTTAAATATTCTCCTCTGATGCCTGAAAACATTTAGATTTTAATGTTCAAACACAGAAAAGAACAAAGTGAAATATTAAGTGACATTAACTTTAACGATAAACATGTAGATGTGATGATTTTACTGTTCAAATATCAACACAACTTTCTGTGTGTGTGTGTGTGTGTGTGTGTGCGTGCATCATTTTTATTCATTTGTTTTACTGTCGATTTAAATGCGGTTTTCTTACTCTTGGAACAGATGGGTGTTAATGTGGAAACAGGGAACAAACACAGAGAACATGAGGCCAAGATAAAGAAGTGTGTGGATTACCTGTGCATCATCATCATCTCTTCATATAGCGGCTGCTGTCCAGACCATCCTGAACCACAAGATTCAAGTGGATATCTCGCTCTGCAATCTTTTAAGAATCTGGTTCCGAATGACTTCAGATTGTACGATTTCTGTGTCTGTTGTCTGAGGAGAAAATCTTTTTTTGATTTGTGTTTGATTCTTTGCAGCTGCAGACGTCATGAAGAACAAAACCACCGGAAAATGGACGACAGTTACCTCAGCAGGACGCATGGCTCAGAGCTCAGTGATTCTCACAGAACTCCACAATTTCAGACATTTCACAAGTTTTTTTTGATGTTCCAATGATTTATTCTTAAGAGTATAAGTTGTTGATCCTCATAGAGATTTGTGAATGATGTATATTATTTGTCAATTAAACTGATATACAACGTTAATATTATTAATTTTGCCTCAGGGGTGTTGATGTGGTTCGTTTCTCAACTTCCAATTAAATATTCTTCTCTGATGCCCTGAATACATTTTGATTTTAATGTTCAAACTCAGACAAGAACAGCCAGTAAACAATAACTTTAATAAACATGAAGATTTGATTTTACTGATCAAATAAGTACAGGACTGTGTGTGTGTGTGTGTGTGTGTGTGTGTGTGTGTGTGTGTGTGTGTGTACACTAATGTAAATTTAAAAAAAAAACGTTTTTATCTAAAAAATATGCAGCAACAGGAATTAAAGATGACAAAGTGTTGATTCCCTCAATTTTAGTAAAACGTTGGTGTGGATTTAAATGTTTCCTCACTTCCTGAACATAAAGTTGACACCTCACATGCCTAAAAAAAGGATGAATAGTTTTAACAGTATTATTTATCATCCCATTGAATGGTGCAGTGACATCCCAGAAAGGTACTAACTAACCAGCATAACAATGTCCGTCTATTCTGGGGATGGGGAAACCTTTTACCGTCAATAGTCATTTCAGTTTTTATAACGTCCTTTAGGGTTATACCAAATCACAGAGCACATATAACACTTACCTTCTCTCTTTGGTATCTACAAGTGATGATGATGATGATTTGTACTATTTCTAACGGAAAATAACTTTCATATCACAATATGTCCTTATATTTATAACAATGGTTTTTAGACTTGCTCATACAATCAACATGTGCCCCTGCACTTCACTTCACGACATTTCTACACAAACCACTACAATGGCAGCATTTTTTAAATGTAATTTCTAGATTTGTATTCTCTTGTCCACCTCATTCTGACCTGCCTGCTGCTGTAACGTATATAATAATAATAATAGTAATATAGAATACTGTTATGTCATGTGCACATCTATCCAATGAAGATACTAATAAAAAAGTAGGAATAATAATAAAGTATCTATCTATCTGATAACTTGGTGGTATACTTGTAGTAGTATGTACTCACTGATGTGTACTCAGTGTACTCCTCTTCATCCGCCCACCGCCTCCCGTTTTACGACAGTACCAGTGTGTTGACAGCAGGCAGTTGCTACAACATCCAGCATCATGGCGGATGTGTGTGGTCCCGGTCCAGAGGGGCCTTCAGTGGGGAACCAGGAGAGTTCCGCGGCGGGAGGAGACGCTGGAGCACCGGCGGCTGCTGCCCGGGACTTACCCGTGTGTCTGATCGTGCTGGGGATGGCGGGGTCCGGGAAAACCACCTTCGTTCAGGTCAGTTAGCTAGGGCAGCTAACGGCGGCTAGCCGCACGAGTCAGGTTACGATCAACAAGCAGGGAAAGATGGTGGATTTAAAAAAGTTCTGAACTCCACCGACCCCGGGGTGTGTGAGGGGAGGAGGCTGCTCTCATGCTCGTTATCTTACCGGCGACTGTCGCTTAGATTCTGTCAGCTGCACGTTGTTATGATGCTAACTGCAGGTCGACAGGTTAGCTGTTATGATTCTGTTAGCAGGAGGCTAATCATGTATTAGCTGTCCGTATTAATATACTAGCTGTAGGTAAATAGGTTAGCTGTTTGTTATCAATAAACTAGCTCTATGTTATTAATGAACTAGCCGGTATGGTATTTATAAACTAGCTTTATGTTATTAATGAACTAGCTCTATAATTAATAAACTAGCTGGTATGGATCTGTTAGCGGTAGCCTGGAAAGATGGTGGTTTAGAAACGTTATACATTAAACGGATCTCGGAGGATAAGACAATGACTGACTGTCCTCATGCTCGTTAGCTTACCGGTTAGCTGTAGGTTATTAATATGCTAACTACAGGTTAACAGGTTAGCCGCTAACCGTTAGCGGTTGTAGCTCTGTTAGCTACAGGTTAGCAGGTTAGCGTTTGAGATTTCTGTACAAACTGCGACGTTTAAACTTTACTTCTTCTGCAAAACTCTTTTCACGACACTGCCCTCGGTGTGAGGAGTTTCCTCGTGTGTGTGTGTCCGTCACTCACCGGATCTTCACGGAACCGGAACCGAGATTCTGTCAGAACTTTTCCCGAGCCGTACGGTGGCCCCGAGGGTCAAACCGCGATGACATAAATCCAAAACAGCATTTCGTGTTCCGGTTTGACCCTCGAGGCCTCCGTAGCTGCAGGTGACGAGCAGGTGACGCTTCAGACTCAAACTGTAGTTTACTTTGATCGTCGACTGTAAACGAAGACGGACGCGTGTCCACTTCTGAAAATATCTTGGATCCAAACAATCTTACACGATGATCATCAAATGAGTAATAAAAACCAAACTTATCGGAAACAGGAACACTTGTCCGAACATCTGAGAGATAAGAACGACCTGAAATGACAGGAACCATCTTTGAAACGTTTGTCTTTGGGTTTTTAGTTTGGTCAATGTCTCGTCTGTTAACGTGGAGAAGGAGGGGTTTATGTCGCACACTGCAGACAGTGGAAAGCTGTTCTTTCTGCTCAGAGACTTTTCTGTTCTCCAGAGGCTGACAGCTCACCTCCACTCCCGGAAAACTCCTCCGTACGTCATCAACCTGGACCCTGCCGTCCATGAAGTCCCCTTCCCCGCAAACATTGGTGAGGACCAGCCTATTTCCTGGACAGAACATTCAGAGTGTCCCTCCTGGTCGCTGTAACCTCCAGTGTGTGTGTGTGTGTGTGTGTGTGTGTCCTCTTTCCTCCAGACATCAGGGACACTGTGAACTACAAGGAGGTGATGAAGCAGTACGGCCTCGGACCCAACGGAGGCATCGTGACGTCACTCAACCTGTTTGCTACACGCTTTGATCAGGTGACAAAAATAAACTAAAGCTAAAGTTCTGTTACAGTTTTATCCAAAGTTTGGTTTCCAGACGCAAAAATCCTGACAAACAACCGACTGAACTGAACTGAGATCATACATGTGAATGTGTGTGTGTGTGTGTTCATGTTGTGCAGGTGATGCAGTTCATAGAGAAGAAGCAGCAGAATCACAGGTCGGTATCAGTCTGTGTCGTTTCTGCACAGATCCGTGTAAAGCTGCTTATGACAGATTCATCCTCGTCTAGTGACAGTTTCCTGTTTGACTTAGTGGTTGAAAAACAAAATGTTGCGGATGCCCCATAGACTTTGTATCTCGTTTGTTGTTGTACCTGATGACCTTCGACCTCTGCAGGTACGTGTTGATTGACACCCCGGGTCAGATTGAAGTCTTCACGTGGTCGGCGTCTGGAACCATCATCACAGAGGCTCTGGTTGGTTCGCACTCTGCATGCTGGCTTTTTTTTTTTTATTCTTCACCGATCATGTGACGGTCATCTTAATTTCATTGTGTGTGTGTTTCAGGCGTCGTCTTTCCCCTGCGTCGTGATCTATGTGATGGACACGTCCCGCAGCGTCAGCCCTGTCACCTTCATGTCCAACATGCTCTACGCCTGCAGGTACCAGACTGAACTAACTACAGAGGCTTAGATGTTGTTGTAATCTAAAATGGACACGAGCTCAGAACTGAGTCTCGGCTGCTGTTTGTTTTTCTTCAGTATTCTCTACAAGACCAAGCTGCCCTTCATCCTCGCCATGAACAAGGTGAGGTCACTTCCTGTCCGCTGTTGAACCATTAAGGTAAAGCTTATCTTGACTCGTTGACTCGTCGTTCGCAGACTGACATCATCGACCACAGCTTTGCGGTGGAGTGGATGCAGGACTTTGAGGTTTTCCAGGACGCTCTGAACCAGGAAACGTCGTACGTGAGCAACCTGACGCGCTCCATGAGTCTGGTGCTGGATGAGTTCTACACCAACCTGAGGGTAAGAGGAGCGGCTCAGACCACAGAACTTTATCGACTTATAGACTCAGTCTTTGTAAGTAAAGTTACTTTGTGTATAACGACACAAACTGAGGAAGAATTTAAAATAGAAGTAAATGGAAATAACTTAAAGGTCTGAACAGGAAGTCAGTTCTTTTTATAAACATCCAATCAGGTGACTGGATGTTCGGGTCCAGTGGATCTGATCAGTTTGTTAACGGTGGTTTAGCAGGACGCCGTCTTGACGACAGAAACGTCCTGACGGTGTTGTCCCTGTGTCTGCAGGTGGTGGGCGTGTCCGCAGTGGCAGGAACCGGGTTGGACGAGCTGTTCGTTCAGGTGGAGGACGCGGCCAAGGAATATGAGAGGTCAGTGGGCGGGGTTAACGCTAGTCACTGCAATGTTAGAAATGAACTTTAACTGAACAAATAATGAATTTACTATTTATGCTCAATGATAAAGTAATTCACCAAATTGTAAAATATTCTTGAGTTGATTGAAATACATTTGTTATTATTCTTGATATTATCTCTGCAGCCTGATTAAAAAGACTGGAGATGTTTCAGACTTGAATCTAACATCTCATGTGTTGTTTGTCTCACGTCTCTCTTCCTCAGAGACTATCGTCCAGAATACGAGAGACTCCGCAAACAGCTGGTGAGTGTGTTCGTGTGTTTTCTGTCTTTTCTTTCCGTCTGTTTGTCCAAGTTTTACCTGATGTTCTGTCCATCAGGTCGAGGCTCAGAGCGTGAAGCAGCAGCAGCAGCTGGAGCGTCTCAGGAAGGACCTGGGAGCCGTCAACATCACGAAGACACCAGCTACAGGTAGAGCAGCAGCTTCCTGTCATTTCATCGAGGAGTTAATTATTATTCTCTTTAGAAAACTTTCAAAGACTTTATGAATTAATGAACTGGTCAAGAACAGATTTTTTTTTGTAGAACAATTTTTAAAAGTCACATTTCTGTTTTCTGTGACATTGTTATATAAAATTTCAAACGTGTGAATCATATAAAACTTCTTCTTTCTGCTGTTTAATGTCTCGCTGCCACCAAGAGCCACCAAATCAGTGTCTGTATTTTATTTCTCAGATTTTTCATACAGAGAAAGAGGAGAATAAAATTTAAGAAAATGAAACTGAATTTTATAAATGACGCAGACAAACAAACGGATCGGTGATAAAATCTTTTCGTCTAATTGACGGGTTGACTTCCTGTCCACAGAGGAAGCTCACATCGATGGACCCAGTGACCTCATCATGACTCGTGGTAGCCGTGACGATGGCGAGGAAGAAGAGGAGGAGGACAGTGACACGGATGATATTGACCACAATGGTGAGAAGAAAAAAAAAAAAAAAACACCTGAAAAGATACAGAAACGTGTTCAATTCATGACCTGACTCAAGTTTCACTGTCAAATCTGCAGTTTCTGTTGCAGTGATTTTTTTTTTTAGCTCTTATTGAGTAATAATCAAACTCAAACAACATGAAATGAAAACATGAAATAATTTTCAATCTGTTTCGCTTTGAGTTTTTTGGCCTGAAAATCTATTTTCTCAAATGGGCTGCTTCTGTAGTAGCTGCTCTCTTCCTGCAGAGGGCGATGTACACAGATATAAACTAAACCTCATCGATTCACCTGAATTAACATGAAGAACCTCCGTCAGCTCTGAATCTTCCTTTTCAATCTTTCAGTGACGGAGGAGAGCAAAGAGAGCGACGCTTTCGGGAACTTCCTGAAGGAGAGGAAGGAAGTGGTTCAGGTCCGAAACAGGAAGAGCGCGATACCAGAGGGACCCTGACCTCTGACCTCTACAACCTGACTGTGAGCTGACCTGTGAGGGAACAGTTTCCCTCGCTGTGGTACAGACTATTACCTGGAGCAGATACTGTGGATGTACAGGTGTCGGATGAGCTCCAAGGAGCTTCCTGTCTGATCAGGTGACCTCTGACCCTGTGATCGGCTGCTCCTCAGTCCTTCCTCATTATATAAGTTATATTTTTATATCAAAGCAGAATCTTCTACTCTTTTTGTTTTCCTCCACTGTTGATGCTTGTAGAACTGAAGGAATCAAATAAAGCTTTCGGTCCAGATGCTTGTTCGAGACTCGACACTTTACTGATCAATAATCCTGACGATCGAAAACAGGACTGAAGGTTTGATATCGGCTAAAACAAACGTGATCAACATCTGATCCTTGTCATCACTGAAAGTTCTGCACCGTAAACACTGATTGTTGAATTCTCTTGTTGAAGCCTCGTGATTGAGAGAAGACTACAGAACGAAGTGAATCTCCCACTGTATCACATCAGGAGGTGTTTGACTTGATGTTATTGATCTGTGAGGTTTCAATCAGTGAGGTTTTAATCAGTGAGGTATTGATTAGTGCCGAGCTCAGACAGAAGCCGAGTGTCTTCACAGACGGAGGCTGTGGTTGTGTTTGAATGTCTCCATTCATGTCTAAGCTCTGTGAATGGACCCAGATTGTCCGCCTCCCGACCATCTGCCAACGCTCTGCCAACACTCTGCTCCTCTTTGTCGCCTCCACACTCCGGCAGCGTGGTGGGACTGAAGAGCGGCTGAGTCACTTTCTCCTCACTTTGTTCTGTCAGTGTGAAAAAAGCTGCTGAAAAGAAAATCAACGAATTCATAAAATACTGGAACAACAAGAAATGTTCAGCTTTATATTCAGGTTTATTTGTAATGAAGGAAAATCTCCAGCCGACAAGAATATTTCAGATTTTAACTTTGCTCACTTCGAGCGTTCATCTGTGCACAAAGGAATTCAAAGTGCAAAACTCTGCGCAAATGTTACTCTGCATGCAAAGTGTCAGTCGCATCAAATCAGGTTATCATGCATCAGAATCACATCGTTGTTTGTGTCCTTTAAACGGTTCCATGACACGATGAAACGTTACAGAAGAGAAAAACATCATGAACCTGTTTTTAAAACCAAAGAAGGAATGAAAACCAGTTTTATAGTTTGTTGTGTTTATTGTTTACTGAGGAACATGAAGAGTCCGACTTTAAAGCTCCAGTGTGTAAGATTCAGGTGAAAGGGAACTATTGGCAGAGATCTAATGTAGAAGAATCCTCATGATGTTTTCACGAGTTCATTTCATCTAAATTGTATGAAATGTAATTTTCTTTACCTCAGAAAAGACCCTTTATATTTAAATACTTTATATTTAAATACTTTATATTTACATGGAGGGGACCCTCTCTATGGAGGCCGCCATGTTTTTAACATTAGTCCAGACTGGACAAACTAAACACCTTTTGAGTTTTAATGACGACTGAAGCTGCCACAGGTTCTTCTTCATGTTTGGAAGGAGAGGGGGAGGGGAGGGGTGTTCAGCTGCAACATGCAACTTCAACACTAGATGTCACTAAATTCTACACACTGTCCCTTTAAACTTTTTATCTAAATAAAAAAATACACAACTGAACTGAAGTTTTCTCTGTCGATCCACAAAGTTTGAGTTTTATTCAAAGCACCGAACACAGTGCACATGTATGTAACATGTTTGACAGCAGGTGTCACTCAGTCATCAACGTGTTGTGGAAAGTTCAAACGTGACGATGTGAATGCTGACGCAGCGCTCGGCACGATCGTTTTACCGTCTCAGCTTTTTCTTCAGTTGTTGACACAGCTCCTGCAAACGATTTCAACCATTCACATCAAAATGTTCCACACTGTGTTTTATAGTAAGTGCTTTATGAAAATGTGTTGTTTCAACCTTTATGAAGAACCTTGTATTATTATTAGATTATTATTATTATGAGCTGAACTCTGGATATTTCTGTAAACTCTCTCTCTCTCTCTCTCTCTCTCTCTCTCTCGCTCTCTCCGCCTGCAGCAGTGAATCACCTCCGCTGACATTCAGCCCACACTGCTGTCTCTCCTCTCTCTCTCCTCCTCTGCGTGCAGCTCGCTCGCCCCTCCCTCTCTCCTCTGCAGTGGGCTCCAGACACGACCAGCAACAGAAACACTGAGAGTCACGACGTCTCACCGACACAAATAAAACACACACACACACACAGATACACTGGTTTTAACCGGGTTTAGATTCCTCTTGAGCTGCCAGCGTCTTGCTCACCGGCCCCTCAGCAGTGCTCATGAGCGGGGATTGAACTCACACCTTTGTGTTAATCCGGGATTCCTCAGGTCAGAGTCTGTATTTTTTAAAAACTTCCTCGAAAGTTCATTCTCACGCTGGAGGCCCGACCGTCGGCAGCAGGGTCCCTCAGTATGCAGACTGGAGGAGCTGGGGATTGAACCACAAACCTCTGGTTAGTGGACGACCCGCTGTTCCTCCTGAGCACAGAGTCACATGTGAGTTATAGTCTGTTTCACCAGAGGAGCAACGACGATTCTCACATGAAGGTTCAGTGGCTGCTGCTCAGCGTGTCTGAAAACTGTGAATAAAGATGGATGACAGCTCCCAGTTCACCTGGATCGCCCCCTGGTGGTTGCCTGCTCTATAAAACCCCCGCCTATTCGTTAGCAAGTGGACTTTAAGTCAAGTCAAGACATCTTCGTTGTCCCCTGAGGGCAATTTGTTGCACAGCCAGCGAACAGTGAACGACAAAACCCAGGAGCAGAAAAGAACAATATAGATAAATGCAATAGAAACGAAAAAAGTATCTCAAAGACCAACGACAACAGAAACAAATCTTTTAAATCTGTGAGAATCCGCAGCAAGAGGGAAGCAACAGAAAGTCTTCTTGACGGCTTCATTCACTTTTTATTCGTGATGGACACGAACCCAAAGCAACAGATGAAAGTAAACGTGACTCAATAAAACAAGAATTAAAACGCTGCTGTCAAGTCAACATTAAAGCTGCTGAGCCTCCAATAACAGTACGTTAGTTCACATCCAGTTTCCACGTGCGACTCAAAGGTCCGTCTGTCGTTGTTTCAAGATATTTATATGTTGAGATAATTAATATATTAAATTATGCACGACCTCGACAGATTCAACACAAACACACCTCATCACCTGATCAACATCATGACTCATGTCTTTCTTTCTTTCTTTCTCTCTCTATCTGTCACATTATGATGACATCACTGTGTTGAGCTCGGTGCACTGACCTCATTCTCAGTGACATCATTGCTGAGACTCCAGAGATGATGTCATGATAATGGCTTCCCGTTATTGCTCTTCTACAAACCCCGCCCCCTGCAAGCCCTTGTTTATACACACGGCTGTTCCATTCTATTCGGTTCTGTTCTGTTTTCTTCTGTTCTGCTTCACATCCACTGGACAGAAGCAAAACTGTGACATAAAACATGTTTCTGCTGAACACACACACACACACACACACACACACACACACACACACGGTGTGGCTCAGAGCTCTCAGCTGATTGGCTGTAGGTGACATCATCAGTTGGTATGTGGGGGTTTCTCCTGCTCTCTGCTGCAGCATCTCACTCACCTCCACACACACACACACACACACACACACACACACACACTGCAGCTGCATTACATCATCTGGTTCAGTGCGAGGACAGTGTGTTCTACTCTGGTGCATGATGGGAGCTGTAGTTCCCTGCTGTCATGTTTCTCACGTGTGCAGGTTTGAGGATTGTCGTCATTGTCACGGTTACTCTGTTGTTATAAAACATATAATCCTAATATAACGACGATTACTTTTTAATCTTCAGGACCGTTTACGCTGCAACCAGGGCTCAGCCTCAGCTGTCAATCATGACGTCTCTGCCCGCATTCATATCATCAAATAACTGATGGAAACAAACTGATCAGAAACGTGAACACTCAACGTGTGTTCTCACGATTATAACGTTAATGTGTTAAATCTCTCTTTGTGTCTGTGGTCTCCCACGTAAAATCTTTTTGAGTTGAAAATCCTCAAGAGTGTTTTAGTTTGGTCCGTGTCCCATCTGCTAACATGGAGGGTGGTGGGGTTTATGACCTGTACTGCAGCCAGCCACCAGGGGGCAATTTAAATACTTTGGCCTCTTTTTCAGGAGCTGTCCATGCGTGTGGACAATGATACACTGCTGCAACTACAGGTGGCGCTATTGTGACTTAATACAAATGGTCACAACGAATGTTTTCCAAAAAAACGTTTTCCTCTGAAAAACAGCATCGAGATGAACGTGTTCGAATCAAACTTTATTTCTGTAAAGAAGCTGAAGAACGACGAAGAGGAGCTGCAGCGTCTGAATGAAGAGAGCGACAGACAGACGATGAGTTTATCTGCCGACTGCAGCAACAGATGGAGGCGTTCACACACACGATCACACAAACACACACACAAACACACACACACACACTCACACACACTCACACACACACACGCACACACACTCACACACAGTCAGGATGAGTAACTGTTCATTGTCAGCCTTTAAATTTAGTGCTGACATTTCCTCAGAAACATCAAACTGACAAACCAGATCAAACTGGATGAAAGCAGCTCATCACTCTACCTTTTATTTCAGATTTTTTTAATTCTGTGCGAAGGTTTTTTTCTTTGCGTGAGTTTGTGTCACGGCATCGTCCTGAGAACCGGAGGAACGATGCAGGTCAGCGAAGTGACCCGCAAACGAATTCTGCAAACACACGAGGAGAACAGGTCACTGACAGGTCAACATCACGAGTACACGATAAACACTACAGGTACAGGTACAAGTACAGGGGAACGTCAAACTACAGGTACAGGTGCAGCAGTGTAAAGCAACGTTATGAGCAACACTGACAGAGTGTGTGTGTGTGTGTGTGTGTGTGTGTGTGTGTGTGTGTGTGTGTGTTTGGTTGTCTTTAAACTTAATTATCCTCTTTATGAATAAAAATCATTTTCAGTTGATGTTTCTTCACCAGGATGAAAACAAAGATGTCATATTGATTTTTAAAGTTTTTATCTTTTTATTCAAAATTCTGTTTCTCACGATTGTGTGTGTGTGTGTGAGGAGATCAGGATTATTCCTCTGAACCCACTCCTCCTCCTCCTCCTCCTCCTCCTCCTCCCCCTCTTCCCTCTGCTCTGCCCTGTTGGACCAATCACAGCCCAGTATCCCTGGCAGCCAATCAGATGGCTGCTGGGTGATGTCATGCAGCAGGCTGCCTTGTGGTGCTGATGCTGCTGAGCTGCAGATCCTCAGTGTGAACAGAGAGAAGAGAGACGAGCATCACTGCAGGGTGAGTGAGCCTCTCACACACACACACACACACACACACATTTCTACTTTTATTTGTTGTTTATTTGTTGTGTACTTGATGTTTACTTGTTTTTTAGTTGTGCACATATTTGCAGCAGCAGCTTTTCCTCAGATTCGCAGCGCAGACGAGCAGATGAACATGTTTTTCTGTTTTTGTTCTTCTCTCGTTTGTTCATCTGCAGCTTCTGCTCGTCATTTTCATGTTTCCTTTGTATTTCGTCTTTGTTGCAGCTTTTATTTTCTTAATTTTGTATTTTTGGTGAGTTTAGTTCTGGAGCTCGGCTCTGCAGCAGGTGATGCGCTTACTGGCAACAATGACATCATCGCTTAGTCCTCATGCAGGCGCGCACACACACACACACACACACACACACACACACAGTGTTCAGTTAGAGAAGAATCCATCTGATAATTTTAACAGATTCAAGTTTTTAATCTTGTTTCTGCAGAAAAACAAATGTTTTATTTGCTGTTTTTCAGTTTTTGCATCAGAAGAATCCATTTTTAGATTTATGATGTGAACTCATATTTGATGTTGGATGTAAATCTCTTGATTCCTGATCCGAACAGTATAAATAAGTTTGACCTGCAGCTCTGGGTCCAGTTTAATGTTTTAGCTCCATCGTTTAGTTAATTTGTGAGCTCGAGGCTCGTGATGAGGAAACTGTAGATTCTGACCCAGTTCACCTTCACTGTTGCTCAGTTCCAGTTGCAGCTGCAGCTTCGTGTCTGTTTGCTGCTGATTCAGATCTTCACACCTCAGAGGATTTTAACCTGAATCTGAAGCTTCTGCTGAATCCATAACGACAGCAGCTCAGATTTGTGTGAACGAATCATAAAACAACAAAATCTGTCTCATGAACAAAATCTGAGGTTTCAATTAAAATGAAGTGAATTCATTTCTCAGTCTCTAAACAGAAACTCTAGCAGAAGTACAGAGTTTGCAGGAAACAACAATAGATCAAAAGAGGAAGTGATGCATTAGATCAGATGATGTTTCTACCTTTGAGGAAACTGAAGCATCTCAGTGTTTCCTGCAGCTTGAACAGATTCAGTTTCTCCCGAGTTTGACTCGTGTGTGTGTCTCTGTCCTCAGGACGTGACTCTACCTCACCACAGTGTCTTTGACTGGAAACTGCAGCACCATGACTCTGGCAGGTAAGACTCCTCCCTGATCACCGATTATTGATTTCCTGACTGATTACTTCGAGTTGATTATTTTTATTAAATGTGTCACCTGCAGTTTGTATCTATGCATGTTTCAGCATACAGAGAGAAGATGCGAGAGCTCCCCCTGGTGTCTCTCTTCTGCTCCTGCATCCTTCCTCAGCCCAGAGACACCACAGTCGACAAGAAGGAAGGTCAGTCCCACGCTGTTCTACTCTGTTCTCTTCTACTCTGTTCTGTTCTCTTCTACTCTGTTCTGTTCTCTTCTACTCTGTTCTGTTCTCTTCGTTCTAGTTCTCTACGCTCAGAATCGTGTGATTAAAAAAACCCTCCTCCTCCATTTTCCTGCAGAGCAATAAAACATATGGTTTTATTTCCTATAATCATAAACAAAACAAGTGGATTTCCACTGAAGCTTCAAATCAGATGAAACAGTTACTGAAACATTATTTACTTCTTCTTCTAAAGGTTCATCACATAAAACTTGTGTGAACAGAAGATTAGACACAAGTGAACAAATGTTTCTCTGACAGGAAGTAAAATAATGTTGTTACGTTCTTCATGGAAATATTAATTATTTAAAGATGCACCAGGTTTAATGGTACAATAACCTGTGTACAATAAATTGATATGTTCTTATCACGTAAATTGGTTTCAGTTCACGCTGCTGCAGAACTAATTGTCGTCGTTTCACGGTCTCCTGTTCGTCTTGCAGCGGGCGTGGTGGACTTGAACCTGTGCAACATCCGGGACATGGAGGTGATCGAGCTGAGCAAGCGGGCGAGCGGCCAGGCCTTCGAGGTCATCCTGAAGCCGCCCACCTTCGACGGCGGCCCCGAGCTCAGGGCGACCACGCCTCCTCGCCAGAAACCTTCGCTGGAGGAGATCCAGAAGAAACTGGACGCCGCTCAGGAGAGAAGGAAGGTGAGTGAGAGGAATAGTAATGTATTTCATTCTGGTGAGATTCAGTGTGATGGATAGACTGGTGGAAAAGAAGTAGCACTAGACTTGATCCCTGAGGAACACCTCCAGGTATTTTACAGAGTTTAGTGATGATCATCTGTTTCATAAAGCTGCTATCTTTCTTCTCAATCAGCATCGATTCTGATTTAAGTTAAAGTTAAAATCAACCAAATCCTTTGGTAGAGAAATAAAAAGATTGTAAACTCTTTCTCCCTCTAGTGTCAGGAGGCGGAGCTGCTAAAACATCTGGCCGAGAGGCGGGAGCACGAGCGGGAAGTCGCTCAGAAAGCTCTGACCAAAGAGCGGCAGGAGCATCGCGCCGAAGCCAACAAGCAGCAGCGGCAGATGCACCTGAGCGCCTCACAGGAGCGGCTGCAGGAGGAGGTGAGGACTCGGGATGTTCCGTCACGTTTCACTCGCTCACCGAGACGATTCATGAATCTGTGACTGAGTTTGTGTTGCTTTGGTTTGTGTTCCAGGACAAGCACAGTGTGGAGGTGAGGACGACGAAGAGCAGGAGGAGGAGGAGGAGGAGGAGGGGTGGTGGGAGATGTGGCTAGCTTAGCTTAGCTTAGCATAGCTTAGCATAGCTTAACACAAAGACTGGAAACAACTGGTTCACAAATAAACCTACCAACACCTCCAGAGGTCCTTAATGGACTTGCACTAAATGAAATGTGGACAGAACTGGTGTAATCTATTACACAGTAATAATAAGAACACTGTTGAGATGCAGGAAGCCACAGAGAACGAGGCAGTTAAACATGAACTTATTTTAATTTATTCTGTCGCCACAGTTTCACAAGTTTCTGATTCATTCAAATAAACTAAACCTTTGGCTGAAACATTTAAACCTTCGTTGTAGAGAAGAGTTGTCCTTGGACATGGTGTCCACACGTGTCCACACAAATATTCAACTGTAGTTGATCTTTTTAAAGAAGAGAAAGTTAGACTGAAACTGATCTCAACAATTATTGGAAACAATAATTATTTGAATCTTTATCCAACAGTCAGATCCGTCAGGATGAGGAGCGGTGTCGTTTAATCAGACAAAAATAAAAACAACTGAATAACAAGACACTGGAGGAAAGACTCTGAAACTGAAGCAACACAGAGATGAAAACATGACGACAAACTGACAAAGGAGGCACAGACACTTATACACACGAGGGAGGCAGGGCTGATTGAACACAGGTGAAACACATGAGGAACATGTGCAGATGATCACAAGGGCAGGAAATAAAGTTACAGACAGAAAAGGAACATCATTTCAAAATAAAACAGGAAGCGTAGAACTCAGGTAGACACAACTGAACATAAACACAAGGAAACGCAGGTAAGAGTAAAAAAAGAGACAAAATGAAAAGTGTCCAACAGAAGAAACAGAGTCAGTGTCCAGACACAGGATTCATTTGCTGACTCCACTTCCTCTTCTCCTCTTCCAGGTGTCTTGATGGCCTGATCACAACACAAGCTGAACTTTCTTTGGAAGCCATTTTAGGGGGCGGATGAGCTGAGGATTGAACCCGGCGCTGCTCCGACTGGGAGGTCAACAGGAAGAGACTCTGGAAACATGAGAGAAGAAGAAAACACAGAGGAGGACCGAGGGCGGTTCCGAGCGCTCGACCTCCTCTAAACAACCAGGAGAAAAACTTTGAATGAGATGAACTTGTGAAACGACAGCTTCATCATTCGATGCTTCGCAGGGGTTTTACTGTGCTTTGTTGCCATGCCAACAGTGCCAATGTGTTCATGTGCGTGTGATTGTGCATCGAGGAATCAAAACTGTCGTCACAACACTGAAAAGTTGTACACGACCAACCAAGCTGACCCGACATCTCTCCGACAGACGACGGACTCAAACCCAAACAAGCCAAAGGATCAACTGGACCGTCTGCATCCGGAAACACAGCTCACCTGAGTGAAACAGCTCCATCTGCTGGACAGTGTCCTTCATTACATCTACTGATCAGGACAACGTTTTGAAAGGTTAAATCTCTGCAGTGTGGATCTTCATCCAACCGCGGCTGTAGGCCGGTACAGCAAAATCAGCCTGAGTGAACTCCGACGAGAGATGAGTCACCAACACTCACCGACAGAGCGATGAGACCACAGAGACAAGGGAACCCACAAAACCATATCTGATCAAGACGATCACAAGCTCGAGTCAGAGTGAAAACGCAAACAATAAAAAGACGATACGAAGACAAGCTCCGAGATAAAATGTTGATGCACAGATGAGACTTCTTCTTGAGGTCGAAACTAATCACAGTCAAAACACCAGAAAACAACTTCATGAGATCAGCAGACGTAAAAAAAAACAGACAGTGAAGCCAATGCAGACGTGTCTGAAACCTGTGTTCTGTGTAGTGACCAGCAGGGGGCGACTCCAGTGGTGGTTTCTATAGAAGTCTTCATAAGTCAGTTGGTAACATCAGTAAACTTTGTCCTCGGTATTTTATGTCTCAGTCTCTAGTTTCAAGTGTTCTTCAACACAGCTGATGTCCATTTAGTCAATTATGATCAAAATGCATGGGGGGGGGGGGTTTGATTGACTGCTAGTACCGTCCAATGGGTGCAGGTCTCAGGTGTAGGTGGGCGTGTCCTCAAGCTCTCAGTCAGGCTCCACCCTCACTTCTCCAAATATGGTTATTTCTGGTTCCAAAAACCAAGATGGCGCTGAACAAACACGTCGAACTGAGGGCGATGTCACGGGGGGGGTCGCCATTAGATTGGAATGCTTTAACAACAAACAGACTTCATCAGGTTGTGGCAGAAACCATCTCATCAACACTGCTGATGAATGAATGAATGAATCCTACTGATGAACAACTGATAATCGATTGTGTCTAGTGTTTACAGCCGTGTGTGTGTGTGTGTGTGTGTGTGTGTGTG